ACAGATTCCCATTGTCTGCAGCATAAAATTCGTTTTCTGGAAAAAAAAAAAAAAGAGAGAGAGAGAGAGAGACCCATTTCTTTTCTGTGGTTGCTCAGACCCTGCACTTCTCACCTCATCCCCTCACCTGCACTCTACCGCCATCAACTCACTCTGCCCAGCTGCCGGCCTGATCTCTGTTCCTCTCTCACAGGCGCTCATTCTCTTCTCGAGACTCCTGCTGTTCCTCCTGTTTAGAACACTTTCCCCCCAGATCTTCATGAGTGACTCCTTCTCATTCTTTTGGTCAAGTGCCACCTCTCTGGAGAGGCCTTCCCCAACTACCCAGGCAACAGTGAGCCCTATCCTTTCCTCTCTATCCCTTCACCCCGATTTTGTTTACTTCACAGTACTTAATAGCATCTGAAATTATTTATTGAACAATATTGAACTCGAGAACATCACTGTGCAGGCTGTTCACCATTGTATTCCCAGGGCCTGGTGCTTAGTAAGTGCTCAATAAATGTTCAATGAACAACCATTCTCAGAAAAGCTTCCCTAGGCCCCAGGGGTGGAGCTAGAGAAAGGAGGGGCACACTGGACAGAGAACTGGATTGTGGACCATATTGAGGCCTGACCACTGAGACTTTGGGCTTCATAGAAGAGAGGTCGCCTGTCTGCCCATGAGGTGTCCTCTCTGCAGAGGGAGTAATGTGGACACATTTCCTCAGACTTTGTGTAAAGCCAGGTGGAAGGGACAAGGCTGCCTGGCATCCCAGGGCCAGAGATGGGTGCCCTTGGGGTCCCTTCATGCTCCCAGTCATTCCAGATCTCAGGTGAGGTTCAGAGCTGTTCAGGAGCCCATTCATCTCCCCTGGGGGGTTGTGACAGGCGTTGCCTGGCAGGGAGGGAGAGACTGCTGTTCAAAGAACCTGATCTTTTGCATTTGCTGACATTCTTGGATTTGGCATTTACAACCTCAGGGCTCTATTCCGAGGAGGCCTTTTGCATTTGATGTAAATATTATGGTGATGAGAGGCGACATCGAGAATACCCTGTAGGAAATGTAATTCCACCCCCACCAGGCTGCTTTGGGTTGTTATTCAGGGGATTGATTCCTCTGAGTTCTCGGGTTAACCCTGAAAAGCTCCCACATCTCATAGGCAGCAGGGTCTGGGAGTAGCACATTAATTATTTTTCTGATTTGCAGAGGCGCTTTCATCCATCGAGGTGGGAAGCAGTGGGGGTAAGTAAGGAGCGGGTGGTACTGCAGCCTCCTGGAAGAGACTTGGGCCATGCTAGGCTCTAGGAATTCAGGACTGTAATGAGCAATATACTTCCCAGAAGTCAGTTGCTTTCCCAGTTGCCTCCTCAATGAGTCTCTTTCTACCTGACTCCCAGCAAGGTTCAGTCCTGGATCTACAAGCCTCTCTACTCTACCTGGCCACCTCCAGCTAGTATGGCCCTTGCTGCCCTACTCCTACGTTCTTCTCAAATTCCCAGGGAAATGATGTTCATAATTCCACATGCAGTCATGACTGGGGGCTAGGACTGGAGCAGCTGCCCTCAGATGGTCAACAGGATGGAGGAGAGGCATGGCCCTTTTACACTGATATCTCTTTGATATGGTGCATGGCCATGAAAATTTTGTATGGTGCAATGGGAAAGACTCCAGATTTGAGCTCCAAAGACTTGGGTTTAATCTACTTCCATCTCATACTTACACTGAGCTACCTGGGCAAATCACTTCACCAAGGAGTCTCTATTTCCCAGTCTATAGATATGGGATAAGGCACCTAATTTAAGAATGCCATGAAGAAAGCTTTTGACTTAAGAAGAAGACTCAATATTTATATGATAAATGAATGAGTGAATGCTGTGGAAAGATTTTAGGATTTGAATTCAGAGAGCTTGGATTGGCAACCCTGGTTTAGCACCTACTTTCTGTGTGATATGGAACACGTGACTTCACCTCTCTGAACCTTGGTTTCTCTCAGTAAAAAATAGGGTAGTACCTACCCTCCAGCCTTATTGCAGAATAGACAGTTACTATTAAAATACCTCATAAACTGTAAGGCACTGTGCTAACTCTCATTTAATATTACTTTGTACAGAGCCCTGGGGGAAGAACTATGAGGGCTCCCAAGATTTGCAGAATCCTTGGACCTAGCCCTAGAGGAAGTGTCGTGGATTTGAAGGGGAGAATGCACAAAGCAGGGAGCAGAGCCACACTGAGAGAACCACACAGTCATTGGCTGCACACATATTTACGGAGGACAAAGCACGCTTTCATAGGATTGTTGGAGGTTTGAGGTTCGGCCTCCTGGCAGGGCCTTGAAGGTCAAGGTAAGGCCCCCAGATTGACTGTTCTGAGGGTTGAGGTCTCAGAAAGCTCCTGTGCCATCTGTGTTCCTGAACTCCCTTGTGGGATGGCCTCTGGTTCACTAAGTCATTTTCCTCCGTTACTCTGAGGGAGAAATATGCAGAGTCCATTGTAGGGAGAGCATTAGAATCAGCCATCCAAGGAGTGGCCCTTCCCCACATGTCAGTGGTCTATCGGCCACTGCACTGGGCTCGCTGAGAAGCCCATCTCATGGAGGGGCAAAGGCTCCAGTGACTCTTCCTGGGGGCAGGCGAGTGAGTTGCAAGGTGATTTCGCTGCTGTGGTAATCTCCCTTTAGACACAGGCTGTCCTCGAGGGCAAAAATAGCAGCTTTAGAGGCAGGAGAGAATTGTGACATCATCCTCAGGTTCAGCCAGCAAACCCCTCTCCAGCCAGCTGATCCTGCTCGCCCCTTGGAGACTAGGGCCTGGGGGAAGACTTCGATGTCTCTGAGCCCCTTCTAGCATCCTGGCTCCAGTTCTGGGATCTGTCTGTGAACATAAATGGCCCCTGCTCAGTTGTTTCAATGGGTGAAAAGTACACTCAGCAGCACACAGTCGCTGGGCCCACGCCCCCTCCACTTCCCCAAGGCTGAGTGTTGCAGGCCTACAGGGGCTCCACAGCCTCTGGGCCAGGGGCACATGGGCTGGGCTGGGGCAGTGAGGATGGCACTCAGCCTGGGGGCTGAGCTCAGGGGAAGACATTCTGCAGTCCTTGGGAAGTGGGAGGGAGGGTGAAGGAGTTTGCGCACAGCTGTGTGTGCATGTGTGTGTGTGTGTGTGTGTGTGTGAGCGCGTGTGTGCATGTCTGTGTGTGTGTCCTGCAGCAGAAGATGGCAGGCAGGAATGGGGACTCCATAGCCTCTACTGATTAGAAGGGTTTTGAAATTGATAAATTACTTTGTATTGTGGCAAAATGATTTGACCAGATTTCAAATGTCTCAGAGAAGGGAAGCTTCTCTTGGGCCAAGTATTGATTGCATTTAATAGAGCTGGGACTTTCTCACTTAAAAACAACAAAATAAACATCTAAGAGAAGGCACTAATTCACCTCTCTCTCTTTCTCTCTCTGTCACCCTTCCCTCTCTTCCTTCCCTCTAAAAAGAGGAAGGGATCCAGAGACCCACCCGATGCTGGAGTGAGGGTGAGGTCAGGGGACACAATGCTGATGTTGGAACCATTGAGTTTCTTTGGGGCAGATTGATGGTGGGGGCTCAGGAGAACAGGGGGCCCTGGGTTGGTCCCATTCTTCACAGATTGATTTTTGCCAAGCAGCGACTGTCGCAGACTTTGATAAATCACTAACCCAAGTGATGAATGCCCTGAGGCTGGGTGGGGTGGGAGAAAGGATGCTAGTTTGGGAGGCAGTCCAGGGCAGGAGAGTGGTGAGGATGGAGGGCTAGTGGGCAGAGGGAGCCAGCAGAGTTAACTCTGAGTTCTAGAAATGCTGTGAGATAGTCCCAGATAGCTAATCCTGGCCTTGTCTCTCAACAGGACTTGACCACAATCATTAACTCAACTGTGCTTCAAAATTCATTTTCAGTTTGTCTTTCGTCTGTCTCTTGCTGTCTGTCTCACTGTCTACCTCTTTATCTGGCTTCCAAATGGACTCTGATGGTTTCCTCCCAGGAGAGGATTCCTGTGGACCTACTGGAAAATGGAAAGGAGCGGGGGAGAGCTAGTAGCAATAGGAGCTCGGCAGTGGGAAGTAGAAGAGGGGTGAGGTGGCCTCGTACAGAGGGTGGAGGGGAGGGACCTGGGGCCAGCAGAGAGAGGGAGGGGCTAGGGGAATGAAAACACATTTGTAGAGCAGCTCTGGCTAGAGAGAGGCTGGTTTCCAGTGTGTCTTATTTCTCATGGAGGGAAAGGTCACATCATGCGTTTCTCCCATCCTTCTCTCCAAAGCTGTGAGAGCAGAGATTAGCCTTGATTGGGCTTCCTGAGGAATAGCAAGAAGTGCAGAGAGGGAGAGAGACCAAACCAGAGCTGCAGAACTGATCTCACATCACAGCCAGAGGCTGCCTTGGAGACAGCCCAGCTCACAAACCACAAATCTAAATCTGCTCTGGGTGACCTTGGACATGTCACTTAGCCTCACCCTGTTTTCATCTATAAAATGGGATCATATAATAGATTTGAATGAAGTTTATATTAATTAAGATCATATCTTTAAATAACTTAGGGCCTTGCCCATAGCAAGCATGCAATAAATGTTAGCTTTTATTAACCAGTATTATTACTCTCCCTAGTAGCAGCATGGCAGATTCTGAAGTCATGAAAACTCAAAATTTGCCAGCCATCCTAAAGTAAAGAGAAGGGACTCCTGGCTCCGCCTGGGGGTGGAAAACTCTACACGAATTGCTGATCTACAGGCCAAGCTGTGTTCCATACTGTCCCTACTATCAGTGGTGATGCACCATGGACTGAGGCTCCACTGCGTTCTTTATAAAGGCAGCTGGAACCTAGCCCTTGAGATGCCTGCCAGGCCCCTGGCGCACCCTTGCTTTGTCCATATGAGTTGGGCTTGGCTCTTCACCGCACCATTCAGGTTGCCTCTCCCAGGCTCCCGGTCCCAGCCCTGTCCATGGTGCTGACTTGTGTACCAGCCCAAGACTCACCCACAGTGCAGAACTGCTCACCTTAACCATCTCCTCTTGTCCCCAACTTTAACATCTCTGATGATCTCCCCAGCCACCAGGAATGAATTCTGAGCTCACATTCTGGAACTCTGCCAGGAAGAAGGAATCGGCATTAGTATAAAGAATCACACAAAAGGCCGCAGGTAATTATGTCTCTTTTAAGCTGCTAACAGGATTGGCCGTTTGATAAATGGGAGGATTTGAGGCTGTTTTGTCACTGACAAGCTGTTGTAAGATCATATTGGAAGCTGAAGACAGTTTATCTTCATGTGTGTGGTGGAGAGGGGGAATTCTCGGTGGATTTTACACCCTCTTCAAATCAATGTGATTTCCTAGGCCAGTCCGGTGCACAGGAGTGAGTGATCTTTATGACTCATCCCCTGATTAGATTACCTGGCTCAGTAGCCACCTCCAGCCCCTCTGCGTGTCTTCACCCTCCCAAGGACCCTCCCCGCTCCATCCCTCCAGCTCCCCCTGACCTCCTCTCTCTCCTCCTCTAGTCTTGCTCTCAGGTCCAGCTGCTGAGCAAGCCCATGGCTCATTATTGCTGGCTAGCTTGAGAGGCAGAGGGATCTGGTTTCTTCTGTTTCTCTGGAGGCAGCAGAAGAGAGGGAGGAGGGTGGGAAGCAGAGGGAGGCAAAGGGAGAGGGAGGGAGGGAAACAGGAGGAGAGAAGAAACAAGACAAAGAGGGAGTTTAACCAGAGAAACAGAGAGCCAGGCTGAGATAAAGAAAAGAAAGAAAGAAGAGGGGCAAACACAGGAGCAAAGGGAAAGGAAGGGTTTTTTCTTTCATTTCCAGAACCTTATTCTCCACAAGCACCAAGGTAGCCACCTTCCCTAAATTAGGCAGATTCTTTAGGAAATTTTTTTTCAGGTAACTCTACTTTATTTCATTTAAGATAACTCTATTTTATTATCTTCATAGCTCTTACCACTATTATCTTGCTTGTCTATTTATTTACTTCTATAATAATTGTCCTCACTCCTAAATTAGAAGACCATTGAGGGTCAGGATCATGGCCACCATGTTCTTGTCAGGAATCCAGCACCTAGCACACAGTAGGTCCTCAGTGCATGTTTATTGACTACATGATGTGCAGGTCTGAAGGGAGCAGGGATGGCTTGCCCTTCTGGCAGAGGTCTGGCTGTGAACGGAAGAGTCCAGGGTCCAGGGTTGAATCACCAAGGATGCCTTCACTGGCTGAATACTTTGGCAGTTCTGTGGACAGAATTAAGTAACATCCAAGACAGAGCTTTTAAAAGTGTGGTCTTCCCTGGTGGTCCAGTGGTTAAGAATTCACCTGCCAGTGCAAGGGATGAGGGTTGAATTCCTGGTCCTGGAGTATCCCATATGCTCTGGGACAACTAAGCCCATGTGCCACAATGACCAAGTCCACATACCTACAGCCCACGCTCCACAAGAGAAACCATTACAATGAGAAACCTGTGCACCACAGCTAGAGAGGAGCCCCTGTTCGCCACAACTAGAGAAAATTCTACACAGCAACAAAGATCCAGTGCAACCAAAAGTAAATAAATAATCATAAATAAATAAAATATGGTCCATAAAACACTTGATCAGAGCTCCCTGGAAACCTGCATCTTCACAGGCCTTTCACATGATTCTGATGCAGTGTGTCTTAAGTTCAGAATACGAAAAACACTGTTTTGGGGAATGGGTGGGCTGAGGGCTTCTGCTCCAGGGAGATCTGAACAGAACCAGACATCTTGGCTTCCCAGTGCCTGTCTGACTATGTGCTGGAAGAGTAGTGGTTGGAATACCTACAGTGGAATGAAGAAGCCAACACCAATTATTTCCAGCCACGTGGCACCTCATTACTGGGAGCTACTTGGGAAGGAGCAGCCAAATTCAGTGGAAGGAAAGGGAAGGCTCAGCCAGCTAGGGACAGTTCCCCCACCTGACCCAGTGCCCTAAAGGAAGAGGAGGACAGCAACAGATGTGAAGAGGAGAAAGAGCCCTCCCTGCCCCGTGCCTAGGGCCCTCTGCTCCCCAGCCATGGACGTCTCTGCGGTGGTAAGTCAAGCCTCATTTCCCAGGCAAGCTGTGTGCCCGCCCCTGAGCCCCAGGTCAGCCTCTTCACCTCTTCAGGCACCCCCACCCCAGACTGATCAACAGTGTATGCTCCAGGATTGATTGACTGCTCCCCCAGCACATACCCTCCTCCACACACAACCACACACACACAAACACCCTCACATCCCCCAGATGCCACAGCCCCATCATACAAGACACGGGCAAGGCCTGAACAAGACACCTGAAATACAGCACTGGGTGCTCAGAGGTGAAGGACAGTGTGCATGAGAAGTGAGATATCCTGGATGTGTTCATGCCAGACCTCCATCTGGTCCTGGAATGGGGGGAGGAGGACGGAAGACAAGGGCCAGCTGGTTTCAAAAGATAGCTCATGTGATGCCACTTCTGCCCAATAAAATCAAAGCACATAGACAAAGCCAACACCACCTCCCATCCCCTCTATGCTCCAGCAGCTCCGGCTTCCTTCATGCCTCAAACACTGCCTGCTCTCTCCTGCCTCAGTAGCACCCTCACTCATGCTTTCCCCTCTGCCCACAAAGCTGTTTTATACTCTTTCACCCCATTTATCTGGTAACTCCTACTTCTCTTCCTTGGTGGATCTTTCCAGATCCTCTGGCTCTGTGCTACCACAGCCATATACTATTCACCGTTTGCAACACTCAGCCCTCTGGTCACTACATTTTCAGTGTCTATCTTCCTCATTAGATTGTGAGCTCCACAGCAGGAGGGTCCACACCTGGTGTCTTGTTCTCTGGTGTATCTCTGGTACCATCCATGGTGCCTGGCACGTGGCAGGCACTCAGTCAGGAAGCCTATGGCTTAGACAGGGTCATTTATTTCAGTGAATTGTTCCTGAGCATGAGGCATCATGCTAAACTCTGAGGATGCAGAGGCACGCAGAAAGCCACTCTCCCTTCTCACAGAAGCTGCAATCCAGTGGTGACATGGATAGTTGTCAAGTAAGCATACAAGTTTTTGTAAAACTGCAACCATGACAGGTGTTTTAGAGGCTCATAGTGCCAATGAGAGTACATAATAGGGGGATTTAGTCAAGTTCAGGAGGTCAGGAAAGCTTCCTGAGAGGATGCTACTTCTCTGATATACAGAAAGTTGTATAGAGCAACAGTGGAGTAAAGAGTGTGTGAAGAGCTAGAACAGCATGTGCAAAGGCCCTGAGGCAGGAAGGAGCATGGCTTCTATACAAAACTAAAAATCCAGAAGGTCTGAAGTGTGTGGGGTGAATGGGGAGGCTGGAAAGCTGACAGAAGCAGATCATGCAGGGCCTTGTCAGGTGAGGTAGGGAATTTATTTCTTCACCTAAGAGCAAAGGGTTTAAACACTGAAGAGTTGAAACAGCAGGGGGGTGGGCTTAGGCAGCAGCGATATAATCAGAATTGCATTTTGAAAAGGTCATCAGGCTTCAGTCGAAGAAGAAAGGGAGGGGCTCAAGCAGAGGCAAAGAGACCAATAAGTGTTGCAGCCATCTGGGCTCAAACCAGGAAGGTGCAGGTGGAGACTGAGAATAGTGGACAGTTCCTGAAAGGTTTCAAGCCACACCACAGCTTGGGTGGCAAAACCAGGACTAGTATCCATCCTGAGCTCCTGTACCTTCTTGTAACCATTGACCTCCTTCTGGGATGTCCACTGGGTCACCATCAGAAGCAATTCCCAGGCCTCCCCCCAGAAGTATCCCCTGCCCTCTGCCCCCTAGATTCCCACATTCTGTACTATATTCCCTTAGGGGTGCCCATATGTGTCCTCTTCCAAGCTGGAAGGCTCTGGCTGGATATCCATCTGGAGCTGGGTTTCTCTCAGAGCCCCAAGGTGCTTTGCATTCTGGGAATTGTAGTTCTAGAGCAGGAAAGCTGGGTCTGCTCCTGACAGTGGGTCTGGCAGGCAGCCTGGTTGCCATGGTTTCAGCTGGGCTGGAGCCACCGAACCATTTCATCCACAGCTCTACTGGCTCTGAGAGCCTCCCAGCAAGAAAGCTTGGGCTCTGGGGAGGAGGAGGAGGGAGGAGAAGAAAGAGAGAAGGAAAGGGAGGGTGGGGAGGGCCAGGTGGGCCTGTGGAGCAGGCCCAGGCTAAGCTTTGCCCTGCTCTGGGGCTTGCGAACTGAGTTGGAGAGAAGTCACCAGCACATCCTCAGAGCAAGACTCCCCGCCCACCGGGAGCTCTGTTCTCTTCAGTCAATCAGACCTTGTAATTCAGCTCTGTGAATGCAGAAGCCTGCATCAGGCAGAGAAAGGAGGAAGCAGCTCCCTCCCCAGGGGAGCACAGAGCCTGGGTAGAAAGGCAAGAAGGTCCGAAATAATTAGTTAGGAGGAAATAGTCCTGTCCGTTTTCCTTCCAAAATGTCCCCAGAATTCGTTCCTTTCTCTCTGCCCCTTGGCCACAGTCCTGGTTCATTGCATCTCTCCCAGAGAAGGCTTTCTAAACACAAATCTGGTCCTGTCACACCCCTGCTTAAAATTCCTCAATGGCTCCCCTTTGCCCACGACTGGATCAAGTCCAGATTCTCTAGTAGGACTATTCATGGCCTTGTAAATTCTGGGCTGAGGCTCCCAGTCCAGTTTCTCCTTCTGTATCCCCTCTGCTCCAGCCATGCAGAAGTTTTCTTGTTCTTCTTTCCTACCCACTGCCTTTGCACATGCTCACTTCTGTCTGCAATGCCCTACCCTCCCTCCCCAGCCTCTGAGCCGACCAAACACGGCTGAACCTCCTCCTCCTCGATGAAGTCTTCCAAATCCTTCTCCACCAGGGGAAGAATTAATGGCCTGGTGCTCTGAGCTCCCAGAGCACTTTGTACATCCCTCTCAAGCACTTATCACCCATGATGTGATGACTGTCTCTGTAGCTGTCTCTCCCTCTCTCTCTCCCTCATCTGAGCTACCTCCAAGGGCCCCAGCACCCAGCACCGTGTCTGGCACAAGGTAGGCACTGGATAAACAGTGAATGGGATTGAATTCACCCAAGGAAGGCTATTTGGGCTGTCACCACTCTCCTGTCCTTCCACTCTGGGCTCACTGCCTTTCCTGAGTCCCATCCCCCACCTCGCACCTCCCCAGGGCCATGCGCACCTCACACACTGCAGCAGGACTGGCAGGTCCTATTGAGCAGCACCTTCTATTCTGGGCAAGGGTGGCACAGACAGCTGTACGTGGAGGCTGCAAGCCTTGCCATGTCACTGGGAATGTGTATCAAATCATACCTGTGTCTCCAGAGAGAAGGCACCTGTGCCCTAAATGGAACCGTGATTTATGGACCCAGCTCCAGGATCTGAAAAACCAATTAGGCTTCCCTGCTTCTCCACCTGGAGGCAGGATAATTCCAGGAAAATCGTTCCTCCTGGGCAGAGGCTCCACCACCATTCAGCTCCGCACTCCACCCCACCCTTATCACTGACCCCAAGTCAGTAGCTCCAAGCCTCCAGGGCCAGCTTTTCCTGCATTAAAATCCTGACTCTACCACTTAACATCTGGGAAGCATTCTCCTGTTCTCCATCCTTTCTGAGTCTCAGTTCCCCAT